CCTCCAAATTAAGTGTCTGGGCAGCCAGGCTGGCTGTTATCACAGAAGGACCATCTACTCTGGAATTTGCCTCCCTCCCTCCCTCGCCTGACAGAGCTCACATCTGCTAACCTACAGGACACAGCAGAAAGCTCTTTTTTTTTTTTTTTCTTTTTCTTTTCCAAGTGCCCTTTGTTTTAAAGTGCTGCCAGTGGAACACTGCAGGTTGCAGTTTGTTTTCTGAAGGGATTGTGGAGAGGGAGAACAGTCTTTCCCTTGTCTCTGCAAAAGAAAGTAACTGTGCAATTAGAGTTTGATATGCACCTGAAGCATACGGCCTTTTTCTAGAGAAAAATAAAAGCTCAGAAGAAGACCACTGTCTAATTAAGGAAACATGGAGAGCAGGAGCAGCTCTAGAGGAGTTAGCCATTTCCTTTGACTGTCAACGCAGTATCCCTTTTGCTGCCCTGCAGTGATTTACCCCTAACTTCATATAGGGCACTACTCTTCATAGATGGGCTTTTTGTACCTTTTTAAGGCCAAAGCAAGGCTGTACTTCTAAGCTTGCTGCTCTTCATACTGGTTGTTACCCTGAAGAGCTGAGCTTTTTTTTCTCCTTTTATTTCTTATACTTTATCATGGTGCTAAGTAAAGTTATGGATCTATTAGAAAGGATTAGTTCTGTCCACAGCACCGCTGTAGTGAGGTGCTTCTGGGCCCCATGGTGGAAGGATGAACAGATCGTTCATTGGCTGAGTTGTCTGTAACTTTTGGGTCCTGCAAAAGCAGAACGAGGGAGAATTGCTATTTCTGTTCTTTCTGAAAACTTGTATCCTTTCCTAGAGAAAGGGACAGGAATAAATATTTGCTTTTTGTGCTTAGCTACATTTCAGAAGCCAACTGGGATGAATCTGATATAAAGTATGTTTACATTTGAAAGGGTTTTTCCTGAAGCAGTGGGTCAGGAGGGTATATGGTGTATTTTCTCTCTTAAGCAAAGAAAACCATTCACTTTCTTACAGCTGGTAAAACAGCTGATCCTCTGCTTCAGTGGCTGCAGTGAGGGGTGGTCAGTGCTCCATGCATCCCCATACCCTCACCCTGTAGGCAAGCAGACTCCTGGCAGGTAGGAGCAATAGGTGGGGTAGGCGGGTGCTGCTCAGGAGGTGGTGTTAGCATCCCAAGTGCAATGAGTGCAATTCCCAGGAAGACGTTGGGTAAGGAGGTGGCGAGCAGGGCTCAGCCTAGTAAACAATGTTTAGAGGAAGTGGAGCTGCAGTGCATGGGGCACTTATGATCCCTAAAGGAATTTTGTACTACAGAGCAAAGTGAGAGCATTAGAGATGGACCCGCAGTGCTGAGAGCAGGGTGAGACACCACGAGCTCTGGTCACTGCTAGCTTGGTGCTTCCAGCTGTGCAAGCTCTGAGCGCATACCCTGGGTTTCACAAGTACTTTTATTCACAAGTACTAGGGGAAAAAAAAATACCAGCAAACCTACTCAGAGCCCTTTATTCTGTTGCTATTGATAGGCCAGTCCCTAATTAATGTGATGGTACTTTCCCATTCCCCTACCACTCTCCTTATTACATGCCCTTGGCAACATGAGAGGCGTATCTATTACTTAGTCATGAGGCACCCAGACCAGCTTGCTTTTGAAACTAAAGACTGTGTACCCCAGGCATACTGTATTTCTGATTTGCATATGGAAAAGGTAGTTAAAAAGCTGATGCCCCCATATTGCTTGCAAGTCAAGTAGCAAAAGTAAATGATTTATCAAGCAAAGGTTACAACACCTGTGCCTTTTTGTCAACAGACACAGAGGATGCCAAGTCAAGTGTTTCTTCTAATAGCTCAAACAGAAATTCAGATTCAAATAACCCCCCCCATAGGACAATTACGTGGGGAGCCACCACAGTGACAGAGAGACGGATGGAGGAAGCAGAGGCAGCATCTGCAAAAGCAAACTGACGGAGAAGTGTGTAAGTGGCTGAAACCAGGCCTGCCCAGCAGCCTTTCTGGGGCTGTGGTGACTGAATCACGACTGACTTAAATCAGTTTCATTCCTGCTCTCTTCTGCACAGAGCTGTAGTCTGACTACAACCTTTGTTGATACAGGAATACAGCCTTTCTCTGAGTAAAATATTATATAAATGGTAAAACATTCCTTTAAGGGATCATATTTGACGCAATCTGACATAAATTAGAACACGCTGCTAATGGAAATGTCTACTGCTAATTTTTATAATGCCCATTAAGAAAGGCATGTACTGTTTTTGGTTGTTTAAAAACAGCACAGGACAGAATGATCCTTGCTCAAATCCAGCCACAGCGTTGTACATTTGTCTGCGATTTTATTCCAATGTTCTGTGAAAGCCCTTGAATGCCCATGTATGGGAAATGCGACTTCTGCAGAACGGCACTGTCACATCCCTGTGCACAGACCCACTTTTGCAGCACTTTAAGTCTAATAACTGTGATGTATAACCATTGCCTATAGTCGAATGACCCGCCAGTGGGAAGAGAAAATCAAAGCAACCAAAATGCTATCATAATGTCTCCTTCTAACTTGTAGCTGGACTGTAATCCTCCCCCCCCCAACAAAAAAGAAAAGAGAATTCAGATATGGTCTTTGTTGTAACAGCAATAAAAAGTTGTTTAACCCTTACGTTGAAGCCTGACTTCTAGAAGCTGTGAGTGTTTGCTGCTTCCCCTTGTTGAAGGGAGCTGTGTGGCCTGACGGTTAGCGGTCCTCAGGACCCATATTTTAACCCCAGTCTGAATGTACTATAAAAACCCTGATGGAAAGCAGCCACCCCAGCTGCTTTTAATAACACAGCCCTATTTGTTTTTATATTTTCATTTTGAAAGTATCCTAAGTGATCCTCCTCATTTATACACTAACGTCCTGCAAAAACTATTACAAAAGGACGTCTTTGTTTAGAGGAACTCTAGGTAAATCCCCAATCGTTGCAGCCAGTATTTTTACCTCACTCTTCTGATTTAAAATGCGGTCAACTTCAGAGTTATTTCATGAATAAGTAGTGAGTTTTACTCCCTGATAAATTATATATTTAGTACCAAGTGGGTTGCGGTGGTGCAGCGATGTATAGAAGCACAGAGATGCGGCGGGAGCCGGAGCCTGGGAGTCACTCTCTTCCCCACTGCAGCATGTTTGACTTTAATTGAAAGCCATGCTCCAGTATTGTTTTTCATATTGCAGCACTGTTATTCACTATGCTGCATTATGGAGAGGCAGCTAAAGTAAGGCTAGAGCACTTAAAATGATTCAAGTCATAAATAAGGAGGAGAAGAGTTTACAGTCAACAAACTTCTCTGGGAAGCCGCTGCTGCAGGATGCAAGGAAGTTTAAAATATTTTTGGAGACTTCATGCTGTTGTGTCCTACTCCACGATCAATTTACCAACTAGTTGTTTTTCAAGTCCTCTGGAAAAGGTAACGTACCATTCTCCAAAGGGTTTCAAGTTTCCTGAGCTATGGAGGGAAAGACCAAATGCTTAAGGACTTTAGCAGCGTACCTAACCATTCCTGCTTCCTGCCTGCAGTGTATTTCTGTGTATTCCAGTTGTCCCCAGGACTGGAGAAATACGATTTAAACATGAAGGCACACGAAAACTCATCACGTAAATGAACCGAACAAAGGAAGAGGCCTGAAACTGGGCTGCAGGCTGTGTTTTGTTAAGGCGTGAACAAAAATCAGAACCTGATGGGTTAAAACCCCGCTCTGCACTGCCGGTGTACTCTCTTTGACCCTATTTAATGCAGAGAAGGTTGGAGATCCAATGTAGTTTAACCTGCGCTGTCGACAGAGCTATAAACTAAAGCCCCTAACAAATTGTACACAAAGAACAGATAGCAAGAAAACACGTTGTGTTGGTGGCTGCGTGGCTGCAGCCCTGCAAACTGAACACCCTGAGTGCTGAGTGCCCTGTGCTGCATTGGGAGCGTAGGTGCTGCCGTCACAACAAGGAGGGCTGTGGGTTGTGACAGCCATGAATCTGCACACTGATGAGGCAGATGGACAGAGATGACTGGAAACAACTTACAAGAGCCAAAAAGTAGTACTCCACAGTTTGCTGGTCCCCAAATTAATTGCTTATTAATTAGCACCGCCACCTCAACACAAATATTCCTGATGCTCGCCTTTGGAAGAATTGTAGCACAGTTAAGCAACCACTTCAAGCTACAAACTGCAGTTGTCCTAAAACACTGCTTCTACTCACTTTTTTATACCTTCTCCCCCACGATAACGTGATATTAAGCATTGCCTTAATTTTTTCAACATCTGGCTCAAATTAGCTGCTAACAAAACTGCCAACAACTATTTTCTTAATCGACCCTGGGAATTTGATACAGCTTGGAAAAAGCACATTTAAACCTTGTCCTTCTCCTAAAGAAACACAAATGTTTACTTGAGCTTCTGATTCGACCGTAGCAGGTCTATGAATTCAGCTAACCCAGCTTTATAGGCCTGCCTCCACCGGACTGTTTTCTCTTTGTGTAAGGAAACAGATGTGCTCGCAATTACAGAACCGCCTGCTCGCTCAAACCCCCGTGCAAATGCCCAGCCAGGAATTTGAGGCTATTTTTTCTGAATGTGGAAGCCTTTGGCAAAGACTCCCACTGGGTTCAGGAGGGGACTGAGGTGCACGGTTACCTGCCGGCTCTCTCTCAGCTCCTTTGGAATTGCAATTAAATGCACTGTCTAGGGAACAGCTCGGAGTCAAAGTCTGAAAACTCAGTCCTAGAGGAACAAAATGTGCACTAGCAGCAATATCTTAGAAAGCGAGAGAGATCTTTCCAGTCACAAAAGCAGCGTTATTGCTACGTAAGCCCAAAAAAACACAACAGACAAACAAACTGCAAGTGACATTTCACTGTAGTTACTGAGACCATGTGGGTGAAGTGACAGCGGCAATGCGGCTGGCTCCGCGGGGACACGTTAGAGGACACTGAAGAAGAAGAGGCTGCAGGCATACAGAGAAGTTGAAAGCGGCCCACCTGAGTCTGTTGAGGGATATTTACAAAGCTTGGATCCCGTGGTCCAACACTGACGAATCGGTTTGCGGGGGAGGTGCTGGGTGTCGAGTAGGCTGTGAAGGGAAGGGACACATGCGTTGAGGAAGCGGCACTAGATTGCACACGAACAACACCAAAACACACCATCTCAGAGCCACCTAAGCAGATGTTTAACATAGAAATGTGCAAACGTTTTAGAGAGCGAGAGTTTGGTTTTAGACACTGGCAAGGCTCGGCCCTAATGACGGGGGCCATGTGAGAGCTGGGCCAGGGCTCCTTGCAGTAACAGGGCAGCGCTGTGGTGCTGGGAGAGGTGCAGTGGGAGCCTGGGGGTGGTCCTGGCATAGCACATGCATCCCTGCTCTCACTTTGCTACGTGGGGTCTTTCACAGAGGTTGCAAAGCAGTGAATTTACTGAAGTGCTCACTAATTATTTCGTGCTAATCCAGCATTCTCTCTCGATACAAAGTTTTGGTTTCCATACTGCTGTGGTCTGCACTCTCTAAAATGTTCACTTGATGTGTTTGACAAACTAGGAAGATCCTTTCGGTAAAAAATTAATGGGTTGCAGTTTCACTGGGTGGTAAGTGCAATCAGTCTGAAGGCTGAAGCTGCCTTTAAAAACTGGAATGGCTCCCATAAATGTAAAGCTATTAAATGCAATGCAAGCCAAGAACCCAGATTACTTCCAAACTTGAAGTGCTTTAATGACTTTGTTGTTGCATTATATTCTCCACTGCAACCATCCACCAATGCCACGTACTTCCAAATTCAAAAGCTTTCAATGCATTTCAGTCTCCCTCTCATTTGAGAATCCCCCATGCAATCTTCTCCTCTGTTCAGTATTTGCATGTTCAGATCTAAATTGAAATAACCTAAATAGACCCCTTAATACCAACAGCGATTCCATCTATTTTAAATATATTTATGGGAATGCATTCTGCTGAATAAAATCCCCAGACAATCTAACTATCCAATGAAGAGGGAAAAAAACAATGTCTAAAGGAAAGTTTTGTGCCAAATTCCAGTCAGGCTAAACATAATGTTCAGGCCTCAACACTACAGAAAGATGCAGTGAGTTAAGAGTCAGGGAAGACACTGAGCTGTCTGTGCAGACAAAGCCTGTTGCCTTTCTTACAGCAAAATGTTCGGCGAGGACTCATTGCGTTGGAGAAGTCTCTGGTTCGAGGCTGAACCAACCCAACAGTCCACATCATCCACTGCCCTCTCTAACAGAGATCAGAAGCAGATGCACAGGTTCTGATAAGAGCCACATCATTCACTTTCCCAAATTCTTTACCACCCTCTGATTACTTTCAGCTGAAGGACAGCCCTGTACTCCACTGCCTGCGGGGGATTTCCCACTGGTGAAAGTGCAGGCTGCCCACGCAAACTCCTGGCATCCCACAGATCCCTTTGGTGAGGGGTTCCCAAGTCTCCAGGAATGCAGAACCCTTCCCTTGGCTCTCTACCTGAACCTCACAAACATTTCCGGATGCCTTCTTCTTCTCACAATTAAATGAGACAGCAGAAGTCACCCGAAGTCACCCAGGAACTGCACAGCCTCATTTCTTACTGATCTGAAGGGAGATAAGGCACTCTTGTCTTCCAGCAATGAATTTTCCCAGTTGTTTCTGGTGAGAGGAGCTTTAACTTCAGAACTTTGCTATCCCTCACAAAAATCATGCAAGGACCACCTTTTCCTCTCACAGATTTAAAGGAATTTTTAAGTGCACTAGTTCATTTTTCCAAAATGATTTTACAAGTTGCACGTTGGAGTATCAACAACTACACCGGTTGTTATCCCTGTCTGGAAATCAATGAAGAAGTGAACCGTGTCCATTTGGTGAGTTGTTCTTGCCTTTCTGCAGTGTTAATTTGCTTAATAAATTTAAAGAAGCCAAAAGTTTGAAAGAATTCATCTCTGTTGCTGGTGCCACATATAAAGATTTTTCTGCACTGTTTTAAAGTTTGGTTTGTTGTTTTTTTTTTAATGTAAGTACTGAGCCCTGTGTCATGCAAGAACAAAAATTCCTTTCACAGTGGGGAAATCAGAAATCAGCCATATGCTGTTTGGTTCCTCTGGTGTACTTCTAGGGAAGCCAAAAGAATGGAGAGGCCATTCAACCCGACAGAGCAGGTATGTCCCCACTCAGCAGGGCAGGAACTCAAGACCTTGTTTAGAGTTCCCTGTTAGCAGATACTTATGCCAACTGTGATATTTGGTAGAAAATCAATGGGAAACCATCAGAACGCTGTCTTAAACATCTTCTGCATGTAAACAGGTCCCAAAGCTTTTAGATAAAAAGTTCCATCAAGCTTTTCTGGGTGAATTACTTTGTACACCTTTCTTCCATAATGCTTCAAACTATGTTTAACTTCTTGAATTCGGATGTCAGCGTGGTATTTCCTTAAGGGCACATAACTGCAGTGCTAGAGCCAAGAAGCAGAGCACTGGCACTATGGGGAACACACATGCAGAGCAGGCTTTGCACTGGGCTCTCCCAGGTTGGTGGACCCACTTCACTGCAAAATGTCCTGAGATGCTGGAGGATTTAACTGGTCGTTTTGGCTCAGAATGATACATTGACAAGGAATGATTCTTAGCAGTGACTTCTGTGACAGCACAGGGAACTGGTCAGAAAAGGGAGCAGTACCCAGTATTGCTGAGACAGTCTTCTTGCCATTTCTTAGAGTCCTGGTGTGTATACCCTCGTTTGACATGGAGGTAGGATTCCTGAAAGTCCTGCTTCTCCTGATCTCAGTATTCAGCCCTGAGATTAACCACTCTCAATGGTTTATGCTTAGTTATATTGTTTTGTGGTATGCCCAGATACCCTAGCCCTGTCGTGGGATCTTTACACTCCTTTTTACGAAAGGGAAAAGCCACAGCAAGGAAAGGAACAGAAGCCAGGTCTCTGAGGCAGATCTCCTGATCTCTATCAGCTTCGCTCTGTGGGAATTGCACAAACCTGGGCAGTTTACAGTAGCCCACAGGTAGCCCGCTGGGCTTGAGTAGGAACATCTTCCTGCCCAGCCTAGTCTTCCTGCTACTAGAATTCACTGAGGGTTGTTTGCAACATCATAGCCCAGAGCCAAGGAAATGAATGTGATGCCACAAATTTGCTATGATGCTTCACTTCAGGAACAAGGAAAACAGGAGCTGGCAGGGAAAGAACATTTGCTCACACAGACAGCTTTGATATTTAGCCAAAATGGCAAGAAATTGTATGAAAGACAAGACAAACAAACAGTTTTGGGAATGTCATGTATTTTGAGATTGTCGGCAGTAGCTGAATGCTAATTCAAAATATACTTTCCTGAAATAATTTCTATGAAGTATAAATGTATTTTGTTTATCAATTCTGGATTGAAAAGAAAAACTTTTGGTTGATAATCTGGATGAGCAATAATCTAATGAACCACTATGTCTGTCTTTCACAGACCAAGTCAACACGTGATAGGAAAAGCTGTAGTCTTTGCAGAGGACTGGGAGCCAGTTTTGCAGTTGTGGAATTGTAGTGAGAGAATTAACTGGAGGAACACGGTGCAATACAGCAATTCCTACCACAATGCACTCTGCAGCTGAGTATCTTAGAGGGAACTGCACATGCTAACAAATTAAGTGATACAGTCATCACCCTCTGTTTTATGGATGGGGAAAAGAGCGAACAGAAAGCTGAAACGGCTTGCCCAGGGGGGGCTCAGTCAATGCACAGCAGAGAAGGGGAGAGAAATCCAATCTGATTATGAATCCAGTACTACAGCCACCAGATCATTCTTCTCATCCTGACACAAATGCTGTTTAACACGAAAACTCCTTTGTGCTAAGGGACATTATCTGATAACAATCTTGCCCAACAAGGGAAAATAGCAAAGTTTTTCCACATGCAGAATTGTGAACCTCAGAAAATGACATTTAGTTAAAAAAATGCTCTTAGCGATGATGGTGCACAGGATGGCAATATCTTAAGACTCCAAATGGGAATGAGGGCCACAGATTCTAATGCACAGATTCACTTATGATAGCAATAGAGCCCAACTGGCATGTAGTAAGTGGTGCTTTCTTTGGGCAATGAGATATCAAGCCCAGAAAATTGTCTGGCTTGAGAAAATATTGTTTTGTGTTTGTTATGGGATACCAACAAAAGATCAGATCTGAAATAAGATTGTAATTCTGGGGCTGTGTCTGATATTAAGGATGTGTTCTATTGGGATGGCTTTTTATGGAGGACAAACGAATCCTCCTAAACCTCGTGAAACCCATCTCCGTTGTGTCATCTCACTGAGGAAAATGCTGGCTTTCCAAAGGGACGGGATGTGCAGCTGAAGTGCTCAACTCCCAGAGCACGCCTGGCCACCCAGTAGCGGCAAATCCCCAGTGTGCATCTCCAGGGGCTCTTCCTTCCTCGGACAGTGCTAATGTTCGTGTTTCGGTTAATGTTACAGCTGGAGAGTTTCACTGTTGCTCCGAGAATCATTAACCACCTTGTTGTGATTTTTAGCTCTCATTCCCGGGAGGCCATGCTGTATTGAACAGCTGCTCCTGGCTCCTGCACCCCTCAGGAGGGCCATATTCCAATTTTTGGTAGGGCCATAACTGTATTTTGTTTCTGCAGAGGGCTTTTTTTGCTAGACCAAAAAAGGGAAGGAGAATGGAGCAAATGCCAACCCTTTTCACTCCATTTCCTTGGGTGGTGGTGGCGGGGGGTGCTTCATTCTCCTCCACACAGCTAAGGAGAGAGTCTGGCCAAAATCTAACATCACTCCTCTCTTTGTTGCATAAGTGACTTTCCAATATCCTAGAGCTCTGCAGGGCAGTCAGCCATAACCCACAGACACTCCCGAACCGGTGCGCTCGAGCAGCCCATCACCATGGAAAACACCTTTTTGTGCAGCTTTTATGAAACTCTGGTGAATCTGCACTTGCTGTTTGTAGGCTAATATTTAGTTAAGAAAAAATAAACACCAGCATAAATGGAGGGTTGGTACTGATTGACACACTGAATGATGTCCAGTGGGCCCTTACTGAAAGGCTAGGCACTTTGCATTGTCCTTCTCTTTATGTAGCCAGCCACTTCCACTGGCTTTAGTATGTATGCAATGGTTTTTTTTCTCTTAAAAAGCATTTCCTACAGTCTACTTTTCTGTAAAACTTGTCCCTAAATTAAATTATATGCTTCTTTACAACTCAATTCACTATTATCCAAAACCCTTGTTTCTTACCAGAAGGAAGATGCATGCCTGACTATGTACAGAGCTATATGTTTAGATATCAGCGTAGCTAATTAACAAACAGTAATTATTTTCCTAATCCTTTGTTTAAATACCATTAACTAGCCACTCTTGAGAAAACCTCCATTCCCAATTAATGCGGCAGCTGTCTGCTGAACACTGAGCCACAGTGACCAGTCTGAGCCGACACCAATGGCGGTGTTCTGCTAACTTCAGTGGACCAATGCCAATTTTTATGCCAGCTGAGAATCAGGCCAACAGGCCTTTAGCTTGTTTACATGATCACAGTATCACAAAAAAATCGGTATTAAGATTACTGCCGAAATGATGTTGGGATTTTTTTTTTCTTTTAGACACCACACACTGCCAGTAAACTGAGTCACAACTGTGATGACAAATATACATTGACCTACTTTCGTTTTTCCCAGTTCTGAAGACCAGGAAATAGTAAGGCATTGCTGACTCTATGAAGTGATAACATGACTAAACATTAACCTTTTAGATTCTGCTGCTGCATCTTAGTGACAGGCCTTAAAAGATGGTATCTCCCGTCAGAAAGCATCAAAACTTCCTGATAGCACAAGTGTTGGTCTAAGGTCAGAAAGAAGAGTGGAGGGGAGGGAATGAATCAACTGCTTGTTTCAATGAAAATTTGCTGATCAGTTCTAGAAGTCCTGATTCTAGAAGATCACATTCGCATTACCAGACTGTCTCATACTAAAACCCATTTGATTTTCTGAGCAAGCTGGGGCATCTTGCTCAGTTTGCGGTTGCGTACTTTTGCAGAGCAGAAGGCAATGCAAAGCTCTAAGAACGACTGGGTTTATAAAACGCCCCACGGAACCTGAGCAAATCTCCTGAACAGGATATAAAGGTTTGAAAGTTTCAGCTTCACACGTTCTGAATAGTGAATCCCTCTTTTTGCATCGAGCAGCAGTTGCATATAGCATTTAGATAATAAGCCTGAAAAGCACACAAAGGGATTTGCTCTTTCGATTAGATTGATTTTTGTTTGTGGATGTTATTTGGACACCCTTCGCTGTGGAACAAGTCCCCTACAGTTGCCATTAAAGCATTGAAAGCTTCCCTTTTGTTTTTAAATGTCAGTTTGAGCACAGCTTCATTAAATCATTTCACAATTAACTCCCTGCACATCCAGACTTTTTTAAAACATCAAGCCCAGCTGAATTGCATTTGTTTCCCAGCAGAGTGAGTCCAAAGTGGTATCCTCAAGTGTGTATCCAGGAATTTGTATATTTGACTTGTGGCTACACAAAATACATATGGGAGCCGTGTGGGTGGTGGAGAGAGGATGAAAGCTTTCTCCCTGGGCCTAAGAAATACCATAGCTTGCCCAAAACGCAGGGCTCGGGAACCACGTCGTACGGGAAAGACGTCTGGGTTAGTCTAAGAAGACTTATTCCCAAAAGAACTATAAATGAACAGAACTCAAAAGAGTTGTTAGTTTAGACAGTATGTGTAAGCATTAATGCTTTCTGTGAGGCTGCCTGATTTCTGCGTAGCATCTAAGCTCTAAAGTCTGTTCTCGAGATACCAAACTGCCTCCTCGTATCTATAAGGTCCCAGCTTTGTGACCTAACTTTGCTACAGGCTTTGATTTCTCTTGCAGGTAGTTATGTGAAATGCCAACAAAATCAGAGACAAAACCACGACCTTCAGCTAACTCTCTTCTCACTGATAAAAAACAAGCTAAGAGTTTGGTCACTCATACAGAGAGCAGAGAGCTGCACTATGACCTCCGAGCTAGTCCAGTCCTCATCTCTGACCAGGAGATAGAGGACGACGGCAGCACGCTGTGTGCTGCTGTCAGCCCTTGCTTCCCGCTGCGTCTATACTTACTTGGAGAAGTGGGAGAGGTGGCCCCTCCTTCTGTTGATGTAGTTGGAGGTTTTGTGTCTGGCACTGGCAGAGGCACAGGCCTAGCCATTGGTGGCGGAGGTGGTGGTGGCAACATTGGGGTAGGAAGGAATGGATTGTGCACCTTGCCTTGGCTGCTACCATTGGGCTGCCGAAAAACAAGCAAACAGACAGAAATTATACTAAAAACCAGCTATTTGGAACCTCCAGTAATAACAGTCCAGTTTCAAACTATGTGCACTATATTTACAATTACTTTAGAAAAGAGGTGGCAAAGAGAGCTGTTTCTAATTCTCCATTGATTTCAAGGAACATTGTTTCAAGCCCTGTGAACCCTGCGAAACTACAGAAATTCTCACTGTTAAACACGTATCCTAGTAGCAACGGGCCTGAGGTGCTCTGGATTAAATCCTACCACTCTTTACCTTTCCTGCAGCCCCTCACTCATGCTTAGCAAGCGTTTCGGCAGTATTTTCAACCCCTTGCATGTCCCATATCTGTGCCTCTGCTACACCCTTAGGATATCAGTGCCTAGGACTCGAGCGTAAATTTCTTAAAGACATTGCTCATTAAAAGCAAAAATAAGCATTTCTGGTGGTCTTAAAAGTCACGCTGATATCTTATTACAGGAAAAATGAATGTGTGTGTACTGGAGCAACTGCACTCCCACATCCCTTCTGAGTTAGCGGTGGTGCAGCTCGCAGGTTAGTAGCCGTTACGATTCCAGGGAGAAACAGCTGAACTTAGAACTGCCTCATTCTGCACATTAGGAAAAATCCCTCTGTGTATTCAGGCTGCGATGTGGTCAGTCCCAGGCGGAATGGGCCTAGCCGTGTGAGTGCTGGCTTTCAATTAATCATCTGAAAAACCTGTCCGTACGTAAATGCTCTCTCAAGCATCACAAAACCAAGAAGAGGCCTTGGAAAAACAATGCCACCCTTCCCCCTTCCACGTTGTGGCATTTACGTTTTAATACAGCCCGGACACTTGAAAACCATATGCAGAGAGATGCCAAATGCCGTCATAAAGAGAAAGTAGGACAGCCCGTGAATCAGGTGTTCCATTTTAGTGACAAAAATGAGATCACTTTCGACGGCACTCTGCAAATTGATCTCAGTGCAGTTCTTCTGGCTCTGAGCATTTGCTTTTCCGTCGACGATAAAAGCTCGGCTTTAAACAGATCCATATTCTAAGTACTGCTAAATAAAATAATATTTTAATTCCTGTTAGGGTTTCCATTAGCCTGAATTACTGGGGACAAAACACTCATCCTGGCAAGCACTTGGGACCTCATTTTCATTTCACCTGCTTTGGCACTGACAAAAAGCCTTAAAGTTGCGTAGGTGCAAATCACACCCGTGCTAGAGCAAAAATGGTTTAGGGCATAAATAAAACTCCAATTCATCCGCATTTTACTTAGCAGCACTCCTACTGACTTCAAAGACTGCAGTTCCCAGTGTTTGCACTAAGAAGCAATCCTTCAGGGATATTTATTTTTCCAACATCCAGTGCCATTAATAAACTAATATATTAGTGACATCTCTCAAACACTATCTTGTCTCACAATTAGGTCCCCTTATTTTGCCAGGAAGACCCCTGCTGTATGTCCATCGTGAGTGTGCTAACAGTTCATAATGCTGAATGGTTTGGGATAAATTAAGCAAATGAATACTCAAGGAAAAAGAAAAGCACTGTATTGATTTGTTGTCTAGACATAAATGTATCTGCTAACATATTGCAGACATTATTCAAAGCCAGTCCTGGCTGGAATAAGTAGAGTCGGTTTTTCTGCTAGGGAAAGGAAAGCACCGAGGACAATATAGCTTATTAAATAAGTGTAATAAATTAGATGCTAATAATTAAACTAATTCTCATTAACGCTTTCAATCCTATGTATGTAAGAAAGAAACAGTCATTTTGTCAGTTATTACTTCATTGGCTGGAAAAAGTTGCAGGCATTACACTTCATGAAATATTCAGAGCATTATTTTAGGTATGATTTACATAAAATTTATAAATTCTGTACTTGACCGGAATGCTATTTCAATAATAGAAAGATGATTCACTTTATTTGATTAAAAAAATGAAAATGGTTACTTGAAGCTTTGGAACTCCGCTTAATTTTTCATAGAGATAAGGGGAAAAGATAACTGCTTACAGAAATAACAAACCATAATAAACTGTACTTTTAACATCTTGAGTTCAAGTACTGGTCAACTTGATCTAAAGTGCTATAAGGCAGTATTTTTTTTTTTTTTTAATGAACTTAGCTGATCTGAAACATCTGTTTCTCACCCTCCCTTTTCCTGCTCCTTCCCCCAACTCGCTCTCCCCTGAACTTCAGAAATAATTAATAAAAATTATTCTGCCTTTATATTTTGTTAACCCTCGTTCCACTGGGGTTACAGTGCATGCAGCACAGCCATTTGTGGGGGGACCAGAAGGTCACTGTGTCGCTGCCTCCCCCGACACTTTAAGTCGAATTCACCACAATGCGGTCGAGAGGGTTTTGCTGCTCTGCTTTTTATTTTATTTTATTTTTTTACAATATTTTTTGCCACGGCAGCATTTGTTTTTCCTCCCAACGATAACTCAAGGTGTGCTCCTGTGAGCAACATGCTGTTAAAATAATCCCGTTAGCCCACGATTCATTTTACATAGGACAAACACTTCTGAAGAAATAAAAACGGCTTCCTTACATTTAGGAACCCCACCTGTCCAGCCTGCTGACCAGCGTCGGGGCAGACAAGTTGGACAAACTCTTTCAGAGTCTCCTGAGGATGATAGCGGATTGCTGGGTGTGAGAAGTATGGCCCAGGCTGTTGGATAATGGGTGATGTTGGAAAATGAAGAGTCGATGGTGTTGCATGTGGACTTGCTATAGGAAAGAAAACAAAGAAGTTATAGAGAGTTTTGCCTTTGGAAAAGAAAACAATTCAAATCTACCGTAGTCTTTTTTTTTTTTTAAGCCTTTTTCAAAACGGTACCGTACTGCTTACACATCTGATCTTCACAATTAATATATCAGACCACATTGTGTCCTACGCTCACTCCATCCAGACCCTGGGAGCAAACGCAGCCAGATGTTCTAAAGGATTTGCTGGGTTTTTAGTGGACGTGGAGAAAGAAATCAGCAGCCCTTTGTGAATGTGAAAACTGTTCATCACTTTAAGAGCAGCCCCAATCAATCAGGCAATAAAAAATGTATTTGGGAAATTAGGGTTGATTTAATTGGCATTTCATGTAACTTGGATTTGCACATAGGAATCCATTTGGTATTGTACCGTAAATGGTTGGTAATTTAAAGATGCTCTAACACTTCTTGTTGCTTTTTTTTCCATCTCGGTTTAGGAACATTTATTTTAAGTAATCTGTTTTCATCTAATGAACATGCACAAAGTGGCAAGATCATTTTGAAAATTACATTTACATTACTCCTGAATAATGTTAGGCTCAAATCTTCCACAAGCCTCCAGCCTGCACTCATGGATGAGGTTTAATTTGGTGAATTTATAGGCCAACGAGCCGGCCATGAAAAAGAGAGCTGAAAAACGTGCTGGAGTGAAGGTACAGAGTGTAATGCACACGAGCCCATTGCCAATGACAGATTTTACCTCGGCCGATTCCAGCAGAGCTAGAAGTGCAGCTGAAGGCAGACTTACGCTCTCCTACCTCATGTGGCACCCTCGTCCTTTGAGACAGACTGGGACGCACCCTCGTTAGTCAACAGTGCTTGCCACTGCTCACCATCACCACGAGGCAGCGACGCTGCTGTTCACAGCACTGTGACTTTTCCCTTTCCCCTACAAAATGGGAATTTGCTCTCTCTTTTACAATGGCCAGCTGATGGGCTGAGCACAAGCTCCTCTGTAAATCACAGTTTATTTCTCACCCTGCAGTGATCACTGTATCCCTGTGCTCCCTTCGTGCTGTCCTGGTAGTCCTTCAGGGCTCTCCACGTGCATTTACTGCACTTGTTCACCACGCGTACCCCGTTAGATAAAGGCTGAGCAAGGCAGGCAATGTCCTACAGAAACTTGCGTGTTGGCTTTCTACTAAGTTAAATACACAAGGGGACAACAAAAGCCTTTGGCACTTTTGGAACAATTGCAGAGATGCAGGAAAGTTAACCAATCAAATACAGACAAGCAAACACCCGTTGCATGACAAATGTCATGAAAAAGCTTCACATGAATAAAAACTGAGATCTGCTTCTTAGTCTTGATCATCACCACTTTGATAACATGATACTTTACTATAATTTTGTTCTTAGCTTGCTAAGCCATTAGTAAAATCAGAGCCTGAAGATGTGTATAAAGCACATCCTCAGAGACAGCAGCAAGGAATCCTACCGCTTTACCCTATAAGCTTTCATTAAGGGTTGGATGGGCAGCACTGCTAAACCCAGCTTTCTACCCAACAAGAATGGTTGCCTCAACACCCATGAAAAAGAGCTGCACTCGTGCCTGTGTGCTGACATGGGATGGACACAAAGCTGGGGAATGCTCACAGCTATCCCATGGCCAAGGCCAACACCTGAGTGCACAGCCTGCTCAATCTGTCTGCACTGCTGTGAGTGGCTCTCTCTTCTTGTTTGCATGTTTTACAAACACGGTGAGTTATTTCTTACTCACTTCAAAACTAACAGGCTTTTTTCCCCAGTTTTATTATAGCATATCCAACAACTCTTTGGAAAATAATCCAAATCCTCAAAGCCCCTACAAGAGGAGATTTTAAGACCCAAAGCTTCTCTTGAGTATGCTCTTAAGACTAAAAGCAATGTGAAATTCACCTTGGTAAATGTGGTTGTCTGCCATCCAAGCTTGCTGTCCCAGACACAGTGAGAACCAAGCAGAAGGAATGGAACCAAAAGAACCATTCCACTCACCAGTTCAGACCTCTGCCTTCAGCCAGCACTCCCTGCAGCTCCACGATTCCACCCAAGGCCACTGATCTCCCTGACATCCACCCCCAGGTGTAGATGCTATAATGGCACTTAAGTCATACTCGTTTCACAGGTATGAATGCATCGTCACCTTCCGGCAGCAACATTCATTTCAGAGCTTGTCAAAATATTTTGCCTTGAGTATTTGTTCAGCAGAAGCTGGTGGGAAGCATTTTGATGACTACAACAGAATTTTTGTTAGCATACATTTCTGTCTGTTTGGTGTAAAACAATTTTTTTCTCTTCCTTTTTATCTCCATTCATATCTCCTCCCTTTCTTCTATGCCAAAGGAAAGATGAAGGATGTAGATAAAAGTGAGAAGTGAAGGTTTGCATGGAAAACATCTAATTAAGTAACAAATACCTTGTGATGTTTTTCAATATTTATTAAAAGAAAAAGAATCATCTTAGCATCTAGTTTGCCCATGCCATATGAAACTATTGCATAACTGCCCTGTGTACACATCTGAGAACAAATATGTTCCCTTTCATCTGCTGAGTGAAAAGCAGATAGAAATGCTGCTTCAGTCCAACAAGGAGTGAAAAATGGTACCCAGGGAACAAGAGATTTTGAGACCACGCCGTATTTAATTTTTCCAAGGTTTGGTTCTGCAAATGATTATTTTGAAAGTGAAAATGTTCATAGACATGGAAGTAGTAGGTCTTAGCTGCCTTTGACCTCTGCAGCATGTCAGTGTAGAAAACAAAGTGGAAACCATTTATCAGTGGTCTTCTTGAAGACAGAGAGAAGCAAAAGGAATGCAAAAGTGACTGGCAATAATTCACAACAGTAAAGTCCTGCAAGAAGGAGAAAGTGGTTCCTCTCTCGAATTTTGGCCAGCTCTGCAGCCTCGAGGAGCTTCCTGCTGGTCCTAGAAAAGACTGGGATCAAACAGGGACCAAACAGGCACCAGTCCTCTGTCTGGGCCAGATTTGGGTCCCTTTTCTCACCATAGATGGATTGATTTAAGACATGATGGAATAAGGAACTCCAAAAGGTTTGATTTTGCAGTCTCTGACTGGAAAATACCCAATTTCTCAAGCAGCAGTAGGAAGGGCTGCTTGTTAAGAGGAAGAATCTACTGCCATTAAATGGATCAGCAATGGAAGTGTGTCTGCCTTTAACTAGAGAGAGGGAATTCAATGCCAAAGGCCAAGAACTGCAGCTCATATACAGACAACTAGATGATCTTATAGGTCGTTTCCAACCTTGTGATTCTATGAACTACTCTGATGGGTGGTTGTGGGCACTCACTGTGGTGTACAATGCCAGCCTTTCCAGCAGGTGCCGAGGGCCATAACACAACCGTGTTTCCGAACACAAAGATCCTCACAAACATTTTTAATCAACTCAATTGATTCGTTGTTATTTCCTCTAGTCCTCCTAAAGGTCATTTTAGTCACAATTCACAGAAATGCTTGACAAAAATTCTGAAGTCACTCCATCTTCAAGCCATGACTAGAGTGATGTGAATTTTTCTGCATACAGGAAGGGGCTGTAGCTACTTATATGCTTCTGATGGGCAATTACAAGTCTCAATCAGTGACTGTAAATTCCTTGAGATCTTCAAATGGAAGATAAAACAGATCTTTGTCTATTATTTATTTACTTATTGACTTATTATTTATGTATCCCTAAGCAGCTCCACACTGCCAAACCGTATTTCTCTTGGCGTCTTTCAGCTTGTGACATTTATATTTTATTACTGACCTCACTAAATGACATAAAATATAAGTCCTACCACCTATGAAAATAAGCGTACTCCAGCTCGGAGCTTCGCTTCTACCTACTGTAGGTATGGAGGAGTTGGACTATCTGGTGTTATTAAATCTGTTATTTGGGTGGGGAGGGGCTGGCGGCAGGAATTCTCCTTCCATCTCAAGGCAAGCATAAATATTTCAAAGCACACATGATTCTAATTCCATTGAAGCTCACTCGAAACATCCTGACTTTTTATTGCAAATGAGATGATAATGTATGGTGGCCTGCAACAGATATACCAGTATTTTAATACTACTGCTATTGGGCCAAGTAATTACGCAGTACAGCTGTTGCATACTATACTGGATTTTTGAGCATTTTATGAGTTTGTGGTGCCGTGCTGCATAAAATAAGAGGGTTTCTCAGCATCCTTCCCTGCAGCAGTCCCACTAAAGACCCATGGGATCCTTTCTCCCATGAGCACCAGCTGATGTGGCAAAGGGACTTTGTGGTCACACCTGCAGCGCTCGCACTTCTCCACCAGCACAGTCTAACATACGGGAAAGACATACTGATCCATTCACCTTCCATCTCCTCTTCCAAAAATCCTTGCCAAGCCCCTTCGCATCCAGATGATTAGGATGAAACTCCTTTTTTCATAAAGTCGTCTGAAGTCAATAAAGGGGTCGTTCTGTGTTGCCTTCTCCCACTCCTCACCTGTTCAAGGAATTAGAGGTCTGGGGATGCAATCCCACTGTCCCTTCAGCGGGCCAGCTTTGCTAGGGCGCAGTGAGGAGATACCTCCTGTGTAAAGTGATGGTTAAGTTTACTAACAGCTCATTAAAGATTGATCAGTCTTCCTAGAAATAGTAACATTATAATCATAATGAAACAGGATCACTTCTATCAGCCTGTTTTTGAGCCCATCATAATTGGCTTCATTACAATTAAGAAAGCATTTTTTTTTAAAGTCATTTCCCTGGAAATGTGATGGAACAGTTTGTTCTGCTAGATATTTCCACTTCAGGCTTCTAGGTTGCTTTAACTCCCTGCATGCTGCAAGCCTTCTGCTAGCATTTAAGTGATGCAAGTGCCAGTTCAAATTATGCAAGATGTATCCCACCCTTTGTACCCCAAAGGTACTTACTCTCAAAATTGACCATATTAGAGGACTAATTGGCTAAGCCACCATGCTGGTTGATGTGAAATGCTTCCAAACACCATGAAACAG